GATCAGTTCCCCTATAGCGCATGTGTTTGGACTGTGGGGGAAACCAGAGCACCCGGAGGAAACCCACACCAACACGGGGAGAACATGCAAACTCCACACAGAAACACCAACTAACCCAGCCGAGACTCAAACCAGAGACCTTCCTGCTGTGAGGCCACAGTGCTGACCAATCTGGCAATATAACACACACACACACACACACACAGCGGCGAGTGTTTACCTGTCGGTGAGGCGTGGACTCCAGCGGGAACCTGGGCAGTGCATCATGGGTAGGGGACGCAGCTGCAGACGAGCATTAGCATCATCAAATACACTCCAGTTAGCACAAGTGTCTGCAGAACAGGTGTGTGTGTGTGTGTGTGTGTACCTGGTGAGTTGGTTTCACTGTCAGTATCCATGGCGACCTCATCATAGTTGTCGTACTGGTAGAGACAGCCGGACGTGTCCAGACTCTGCTTCAGCTTGCCTGAGTCTGCAGACTACACACACACACACACACACACACACACACACACACACACACAGGTGAAAATGTGCTGTATGTATGTGTGTGTGTGTGTGTGTACTGGTTTGATCAGTGGTGTAAGGCACTATTGATCCTCCTGGAACAGGAAATGATGCGTGTCTGAGTGACACATGCCGACACTCAGAGTTCACCAGACCAGAGCCTGTTCCACAAAGCAAGCTTACAGTAAAGCCGGGCTTATTTGGGGCTTATTTGGGTTAGCACAGGTATTTCGGCTGAGCACAGGTCAGACTCAGTAACTCTGCTAACTGATGCTGGGACAGTAGGCTGGTCTGGGGCAGCTGAACTCAGGCTCAGTCTTCAGTGTTGATCTGCAGCGCTGCTCTGTGATGTGGACGCTCGGGTCGGAGTGTGGATGTCTGACCGGTGATGTGGACGCTCGGGTCGGCGTGTGGATGTCTGACCGGTGATGTGGACGCTCGGGTCAGTGTGTGGATGTCTGACCGGTGATGTGGACGCTCGGGTCGGTGTGTGGATGTCTGACCGGTGATGTGGACGCTCGGGTCGGTGTGTGGATGTCTGACCGGTGATGTGGACGCTCGGGTCGGCGTGTGGATGTCTGACCGGGGATGTGGTGTGTCAGGGATGATGATGTGGGCACTGACCTTGCTGCGGGAGGGCCGTCTGGAGCCCACCAGCCTCATGAAGCGGTTGTACTGCTCGTCCTGATTGGACAGATCCCGGATCCTGCGGATCTCGTCCTCCCGCCGCCGCCGCTCCTCCTCCTGCTCCTGCTGCTGCCGCCGCGCCTCCTGCTGCAGCTTCCAGGTGCGCAACTGCTGCTTCCTCAGAGCCTGCTTGGCTGAGCACACACACACACACACACACACACACACACACACACACACACACACACACACACACACACACACACACACACAGGTCAGTATCTGTGTTCACTGTGTTTGGTGTTGGTGTTCTGAGGTGCAGCTCATTTATTGGAGCAGAACAGACTCCTCTCCTCTCCTGTCAGTCAGATCAGTGCAGGAGCAGCAGGAGACGCTCATCTATTATCTAATCATCACATCTCTGTGCACGAGTCTAATTCTCATCTTCAGAAAACAGAGCTAGTGTGTGTTCCAGCAGGTGTGTGTTCAGGTGTGTGTTCTGGCAGGTGTGTGTTTTGGCAGGTGTGTGTTCAGGTGTTCAGGTGTGTGTTCAGGTGTGCAGGTTTGTGTTTCGGCAGGTGTGTGTTCAGGTGTTCAGGTGTGTGTTCTGGCAGGTGTGTGTTCGGGTGTGCAGGTGTGTGTTCAGGTGTGCAGGTTTGTGTTCCGGCAGGTGTGTGTTCCGGCAGGTGTGTGTTCCGGCAGGTGTGTGTTCAGGTGTTCAGGTGTGTGTTCCAGCAGATGTGTGTTCAGGTGTTCAGGTGTGTGTTCCGGCAGGTGTGTGTTCAGGTGTTCAGGTGTGTGTTCCGGCAGGTGTGTGTTCAGGTGTTCAGGTGTGTGTTCTGGCAGGTGTGTGTTCGGGTGTGCAGGTGTGTGTTCAGGTGTGCAGGTGTGTGTTCCGGCAGGTGTGTGTTCCGGCAGGTGTGTGTTCCGGCAGGTGTGTGTTCAGGTGTGCAGGTGTGTGTTCAGGTGTGCAGGTTTGTGTTCCGGCAGGTGTGTGTTCAGGTGTGCAGGTGTGTGTTCCGGCAGGTGTGTGTTCAGGTGTGTGTTCCGGCAGGTGTGTGTTCAGGTGTGTGTTCCGGCAGGTGTGTGTTCAGGTGTGTGTTCCGGCAGGTGTGTGTTCAGGTGTTCGTTCCGGCAGGTGTGTGTTCAGGTGTGCAGGTGTGTGTTTCGGCAGGTGTGTGTTTCGGCAGGTGTATGTTCGGGCAGGTGTGTGTTCGGGCAGGTGTGTGTTCAGGCAGGTGTGTGTTTCGGCAGGTGTGTGTTTCGGCAGGTGTGTGTTCAGGCAGGTGTGTGTTCAGGCAGGTGTGTGTTCAGGCAGGTGTGTGTTC